TTATAGCAGCCCCAGCACTGCTCAGCCCCAGCCAGGCCAATCTGCACGGGGGACACTCCCTGCTGCTGATGACACCAGGGCTGTGCGGCTCCTGCCCCTCCCTGACTCAGCATCCCCCCGGCTGCCACCCCAGCACATCCTGCTGCCCGAGGCTTCTGCCCCTTCCTGCTGCTTTGGCACTTGTCAGCAGGGCAGTGCTTACTGCACCAAGCCTGGCAGAGTGCAAGAGCTCTTTGGACAATACTCGGGGGGACATGGGGTGACTCTCTGGGATGGTCCTTTGAGGGTCAAGGAGTTGAAATCAATGGTGATTGTGGGTCCCATCCAATTCAGCATATTGTGTCATTCTGGGATCTTCTCCTGCAATGGACCTATCTGGGAAGGACTTGGGTGGGAATAAAGCAGGGCTGGCAGGAATCAGCCCAACCTGCACTGGGGGTCTGAGCTGCCTTGTATTTGGTGTTTCACAACCTTCTCCCTCTGCCAATAATGGACACCCAGTGCACCTCAGGAGGGCAGTGGGGGGTGGGAGGCTTTTGCAAAGTCAGAAGCAGGACCCCGCTCTGCCCTGGGGCTCTGCAGACAAGGAATGTGGTCATCTTGAGATCAAGGCCTTGGGCAGAGCCCTGGCACTTGCAGTCAGTCTTTGTCACCAGGAGTGTCCCCTGAAACAGCAAGATCGTGAAATTAATGAAGATAATGAAAGGAAATGAGGAGCCAGCGGGGCTGATTGGAGCCCTGAGGTGGCAGCGTCCGAGTAGTGTGATTTGCGGGGCTGGGAGAGCGGGTTGGGGCTGGCCAGGAGAGCCAGTCAGCAAAAGAGCCGCGTGCCAGCCCGGCAGGAGGCAGGGGCTTGGCCCCCAGCGCCACGTGCCCCCAGCATGGGCAGCTCCTGCCCCGCCTGCCCGGTCACCCATAAAAGCGCTGCCCTGGGCCAGGGCTGCATCCACTGCTGCGGCCTCGCTCTGCTCAGCACAAGGGCAGGTGGGTGCTCTGGGCCTCCTGGGGCAGGGGCTGGGGAGGGCCCTCCCTGGGCACCAGAGCTCCCAGGGCAGCGGCTGTGCTGGCAGCAGCCTGGCATGGACTGCCAGGGATGAGGGATGATAGACTGTGCAGAGCATTTGGGGACTGATCTTGTGTTTCTCTCTGTGTGGGGATGAGGGCAGTGGAGGGGGTTGTCAGGGCAAAGGACAAGTCATGGGCAGAGAGGTCAAGTCCATATGGCTGTGACCACTTCAGTTCTAGGCCAGCCAGGGATCACTGAACTGCCCAGCCCGGGCATCTCTGGCTCGTTCATCACACTTCTTTTGTGTGTGTGTCTTTTTCAGCCTCACCTCCCTCACGCCAAGATGTCCTGCTACGACCTGTGCCCACCAAAGGTGTCCTACTCCAACCTGTGCCCGCCCAAGACCAGCGTGGCTGTGCCCCAGCCCATCGCTGAGAGCTGCAACGAGCTGTGCGCCCGCCAGTGCCCCGACTCCACGGCCTTCATCCAGCCGCCCCCCGTGGTGGTCACCTTCCCCGGCCCCATCCTCAGCTCCTTCCCCCAGCAAGCCGTGGTGGGCTCCGCCGGAGCCCCCG